ATAGGTGATTATTTCATATATAAATTTTGAAAACACTGCTTTTTTTTTTTTTTCTCAAAATCCTGCTTTGATTCTGCCCTTTGTGTTTGTCGCATGTGAACAAAGCTAAGAGTGCCTGCAAAATTCATCGGTCTGGGAAATGACGTTACGTGGGTTCAAGTGACTTGAAAACATAAGTAAAGGAAATGGCCAGACCTGGTTTTGGCTCTTCAGCAAAGAGAAGTCTCTATGGGCCCTGAGATTCTCTGTGGGCTGAGCATGGTTGTGCTCCTGCTGGCAGCTGGGAATGGCATGCACAGCAAAGCGCTCCCCTTCCTGGACTCCACACTGAAATTCGGCTGGAAGCGAGAGCCACCATTAGCTCCGGTGCGTAGGCTCTGCTTGGGACCACACCACCGGAGGGTGGTGTTCAAAGCTCAGCAGGTCTCTGGGAGGAAACGTCTGCTGGGCACTTCCCCACTGACATGCGTTTCTCTGATCTCTTCTGCCGAGATAGGCTTCCCCCTGGCGTAACGCAGCACTGATGTGGGATTTGTGAGGAACGTGAAGTGCCATTTAAAGGCTGCCCCCACCTCGAAGTACCTGCTTTTGTACGTCCCTTGCGAACACCACATGGAGGGAGAGCCTTTACACTTGCTGTTGTTTTAACCTCCTAGCAAAGCAAGGATCTGTTCCCTCTTTCCCCCTTAGTTACCAGCAGAATAATAAGCCCCACAGAAATAGCAGCTCAAAGGTTTCACTCTGAATGCATCACAGCTGTGGAAAATATATACCCCAGCTTGCTGGGCTGATGACTTCCAGCTGTATCCAAAACAATCATCCCTTGAATTCCCACTCAAGACTGCTTCCCAGCACCATCCTTAGCAGGAAACATCCCCAAAATTGAAGCCTGAGTTTATATGACATAAAAATGCGAGGTGGTGAGTATCTGAATGTTCTCAACGTGCCCTCAAGGAGCCGGGTGGGCACAGCGTGCAGGAGTCAGTAGTACAGCACAGGATAGGCAGAAAAGGACAAGGCCTCCTCCCCTTTCCTTCCAGCTTTCCTAAGTGGCCCAGGATGTCCCCACCTGTCAAAGATTTCTCCTTTTGTTGTAGCCAGAAATGGTTATGAAATGTTAACTCTCTGCTGGAAGCTCTTCAGTGTGATGCTGGTGCTGCCTCTCCCCTCCATCTATCTCATCTAGTGAAGTAACGTTTTGCCAAACAGAGCTACAGTGGATTCATTACCTGCTTTCAACACCAAAACCAATTATCAAGTCTCGAGAGCATTGAACAATATGTTGTTTGTACACACCTACAGCACAGGTCCTCTGTCTGAAAGGCAACCTCTACCCACTCCAGACCTGCACAGCCAGGGCGATTTTTGGATCTTGAGATCAAAATCTGGAGGCTTAGTGAGCGGTGTGCCACCGATGGATGCTGTTGATGGTGCCCACTTGTGTTATTGTAACGCTGTGCTGTGCTGACCTGGGCTGTTGGACTATCAGGGTCTTGATAAACTCTCTGCTGGCAAAGAGTCACCCTTGGTGATGGGGAGTGGGCAGCGTGTCCTGCCATGCAATGCTGGCCGGCGCGACAGGGGGGGCTTGAACGCAGCACACAGGAGGTACAGGTGGCCAGCAGAGTGGTGTCGCATGCCCCAGTATTGATTCATCGTTACTGGGATCTTCACATAGGGAGATGGTCTCCTGAAGCTCCTTTCTCTGTCATTCTCCACCCTAATGCCTCATGGCTGGTTTCGGCAGTGTTGGGCAGAGGGGTGCAGCCCCACACAGCCAGGAGGGAGGATGCAGTGCCCTGCTGAGGGAAGGGCTCCATGCCAATACACGAGGCCGAGCCAAGCATGCTGTCAGTATAGCGATATCCCTGAGCCATCTACAGCGAAGGGCTGCCCAGGGCCGCAGGGATGTGGAAAACTACTGGTAAAGACACAATTTTAAAATAAAAGCAAGTTTCAGCACTAGGCTGCTCCTGGAAGAGGTACTTGTCCTCTTAATGGGATGGCTCCCATGTCAGAAAGTTGCTTCTTTTAAAGTCACATTTAGCGTACAGGGAATATTCCTGTCAGTGCTTCAGTTGCACTTGGTTGAAGACACCATCTGCTGCGACACTTGGCCAGCTTGGCATCTAAAATGTCATTTAGACCGGAAAGCAACTGAGCCTGGATACTGAGGCAGATGCCATCAGCAAAGGTGAACTTCCATAAGTGAATGAGGTTGCTGATAAAAAGACTGAATCGCAGAAGCATTTACAGAGAGCCCTGTGGAAGACCGCTGATTTTTCTGCATATGCTTTATTTCCCATACATGCCTTATGCAATCTACCTTGAAGAAGCAATGTTACAAGAGATGTCAGTGGAATTCTGCATTTAAAATCCAGTATTTGTGGTT